AAAAAAAATAGCAGCAACAACTCTCATTGCAATGCTCACCGGTTTAAGATGTACTATTAATAAATGACTACAAATAGTATTCTTCGCACAATGCTATTAAATATAGGCCTAATATATAAAGATAGAATCAGAACAAATGAAACAGAGGTTCACAGCAGAAAGCAAATTCCTGCATGAGCCACTGTCCAGTCAATATTGACAAGGAAGTGACAAAGATAAATAGTTTGAAAGGTTAAAGCAATTTATGTTACATTCATAAAACTAATTTTAATAAGAAAGCATTTCTGTTAGTAAAGGAAAAAAAGGTCACGCAGGAAACACCTAACATTACAATCGTGTAAGAAATAAAACTTTATTTGATGATCTGTACATGCAATTTTGTAAAATAAATACAAAATTGTGGGATTAATGGTTTAGTGGGCCAGTTGACATTACATGCACAGTGAAAATATATTTGTGGAACATGGACACATTGTATTCATGTATAGAGTGCTGTCATGTGGATACATTTATATATTTATCTTGCTCATTAGATGATTCATCAGTCTCAAACATTGTTGCAGCTGAGCCACTAATGCCCCACTAATACAAGGCTGCACTCTAATGCACACTTGACTTTTTTACAGCGACTGTTTTTGGCTTTTGACTTTTTTTCTACAGCTAGTACACCCCCAGCATGTTATCCTATGTGTCCATGCACACATAGACTGTAATCAACGTTTTTTTTTGCTGAAAAAAAAAAAATCCAGGACTAGTGGGTATCTAGAGGAGTTTTTTAGCTGTAAAAATGCTCTAATGCTGACAAACACAGCAAAACGCTGTAAAAGGCCGCAAACTGGCGTTTTTGGACTTTTTTGACCCAAAAAAATTATTTTTTGGGGAAAAAAATGCAAACGTGGGAAAACGCAGCTAATCACGGCAAAACGCTGCTAAACACTAATGCAAAAAAAAAATGCTAAAAAAGCAGAAAAACTCACATTTCTAACATGACTTTTAAACAGCTAATGTTACCAGTGTTATCAAAACGTGTACATGAGAGCTTAATGTATAGCTAAAGCCAAACCATTTTTGTTTTGCATTAAGTTTGGAATTGTTAAACAAGAACTCCGGGATAGGCAAAAAAAAATGCCCATTAGTCCACCACCTTACACAAAACACTAAACAGTTAATATATTTGTGAAATTCTTTACCATTGAAATGAAGTCTAGTTGAATTTTCAGAAAGTCATCTCTGTAATTCAAAAGATAAGGGCAACTTCTCTGCCAAGGAGGTGTAACAGCAGGGATGACATCATATACTCTCCTCTCAGGAAACTACACTTCCCATCAACCTTTGGGAATTGTAGTGAATGTGGGTGGGTACACTAGGCCTGTACATGTTGAATGTGTACTTGCCCACTTCAGCAGAAAACATGCCCACACATTCCCCAGCTGCCCCTGCTATCCTCACATGTGATCACTCACCCTCCAGTCACAACAGAATAGGAGCCAATTGACCCAACATTCTGTTTTTAATCCCAGAATAAATATGGCCACAGGGCCAGAATTCGATTGTTTATTCACTGTTGTCTGCTGGCATTAAATATTAATCCTAGTTTTCTAACAGCCGCCACTGTTTGCATGCTTCCATGTGATCACATTCCCGGCCACAACATAACAGAAACAAAGCACCGGACATACAGTGAAGGAAATAAGTATTTGATCCCCTGCTGATTTTGAATGTTTGCCCACTCAAATGATCAGTCTAAAAATCAAATGGTAGATGTATTGTAACACTGAGAGACAGAATAGCAAGAAAAAATTCAAAAGAAATGCATGTCTAACAAATTATGCACTGATTTGCATGTTCATGAGGGAAGTAAGTATTTGATCCCCTATCAGTCAGCAGGATTTCTGGCTACCAGGTGTTTTTCATACAGGTAACAATCTTAGTTTAGAAGCAGTCTCTTAAAGGGAGTGCTGCTAATCTCATTTTGTAACCTGTATAAAAGACACTTGTCCACAGGAGCAATCAAACAATCAGATTCCAAACTCTCCACCATGGCAAAGACCAAACAGCTGTCCAAGGATATCAGGGACAAGATTGTAGGCCTGCACAAGGCTTGACTGGGCTACAAAACTATTGCCAAGCAGCTTGGTGAGAAGGTGACAACAGTTGGTGCAATCATTCGCAAATGGAAGAAACACAAAACAACTGTCAGTCTCCCTAGGTCTAGTGCACCATGCAAGATCTCACCTCGTGGCATGTCAATGATCATGAGAACAGTGAGGAATCATCCCAGAACTACACGTGAGTATCTTGTCAATGATCTCCAGGCAGCTGGGACCACAGTCACCAAGAAAACAATTGGTAACACACTACGCCGACAAGGATTGAAATCCTGCAGTGCATGCAAGGTCTCTCTGCTCAAGAAGCACATGTCCAGGCCCATCTGAAGTTTACCACTGAACATCTGAATGATGCAGAGGAGGACTGGTTTAAAGTGTTGTGGTCAGCTCAGATGAGACCAAAATTGAGCTCTTTGGCATCAACTCAAATCGCCGTGTTTGGAGGAGGAGGAATGCTGTCTATGACCCCAAGAACATCATTCCAACTGTCAAACATGGTGGTACAAACATTCTGCTTTGGGGGTGTTTTAGTACTAAGGGGACAGGACAACTGCACCGCATGAAAGGGGCGATGGACGGGGCAATGTACTGTCAAATCTTGGATGAGAACCTTCTTCCCTCAGCCAGGGCATTGAAAATGGGTCATGGATGGGTGTTCCAGCATGACAATGACCCAAAACACACGGCCAAGGCAACAAAGGAGTGGCTCAAGAAGAAGCACATTAAGATCCTGGAGTGGCCTAGCCAGTCTCCAGTCCTTAATTCGAATGAAAATCTGTGGAGGGAGCTGAAAGTTCGAGTTGCCAAACATCAGCCGCAAAACCTTAATGACTTGGAGAGGATCTGCCAAGAGGAGTGAGCCAAAATCCCTCCTGAAATGTGTGCAAACCTGGTGGCCAACTACAGGAAACATCTGACCTCTGTGATTGCCAACAAGGGATTTGCCACCAAGTACTAAGTCATGTTTTGTGAAGGGGATCAAATACTTATTTCCCTCATGAACATGCAAATCAGTGTAAAATTTTTTTAGACATGCATTTCTTTTGAATTTTTTTCTTGCTATTCTGTCTCTGTGTTACAATACACCTACCATTCGATTTTTAGAGTGATCATATCTTTGTCAGTGGGCAAACATTCAAAATCAGCAGGGGATCAAATACTTATTACCTTCACCATTAGGCTCCATTCACACTAGGGCGTTTCAAATTAATTTTTTTTTTGCCTATCTTCTAGCATCAAAAACATAACACATGTGCATTTTTGCTGCGTTTTTGCTACATTTTCAATGTATTTTAGACCTAGTTCAGAAAAGTGCAAAAACTGAGAGCCCTGGGTCCCATTCTAACGACTCCTGGGACTCCCGATTCTGGGTCACATGATCGCTGTGATAGCCTATGATTGGCTATTGTGTTTGTATATTACACTGATCAGTCACTGTGAAGCCCGACCCCATGGGTTTTTTTCTGTTTTCTGTGAATGGAGGAGAGAGATACATTGTATCTCTCTCTCTCTCCTTGCAGAGAAAAAAAAACAACTGTAAAAAAAAAAAAAGATAAATAAATATTAAAATAATAAAATAAATAATAAAGAAAAAATACCTAGATCAACGTTTGATCTAGTTCAGTGACAGGGTTAGTGTTTGCGTTAAGGTCAGGGTCAAAGGTCAAGGTCAAAGACCAGGGCCAAAGGTCAGAATTTTGTTTTTAATTGTTATCAGTGTCAGTGTAAGTATCAGTGTGTTTTAGGTAAAATAACAAAAAACAAAATGTGCACTATTGTTTCTGGGCTGTATTGTGGGTACACACAACAAATAACATACACATATATGGTATCACTGCAATCGTCAAGAGCTGAAAAATTTATTTTGGGCTATTCTTTGGTGGTGGGTTATGTTAGTAACAGGAAACATACAGCTAAATTAAAAGATGAATTTTTTTTTACTATTTTGGGCCAGTTTTTCTTTGATAATAAAAACAATTATGAGATATCCATTACCATTTACCACCAAATGAAAGCCCAATTTGTCCTGAAAAAAAAAAGGTAATAATTCACCTGGATGTACAAAGTAGTTGTGATGATATGTACAGTTTTACTAACACATGTCAACGTTGTAAAATTTACCTTAGGCTTTAAGATTTGTTTTACCCTTAGGCATGAAGGGGTTAAGATGGATTAATGCGGCATACTAAATCCCAGACACCACAGTTAACCACTAGCCTACACTGCACTTATTCCCCCTTCCTGCCCAGGCCAATTTCCAGCTTTCAGCACTGTCACACTTTGAATGACAATTGTGCAGTCATGCAACACTGTACCCATATGAAATTTTTATCATTTTTTTGAGACAGATAGAGCTTTCTTTTGGTGGTATTTAATCACCTCTGGGATTTTTATTTTTTCTTAAACAAACCAAAAACCATAAAATGTTTTTTCTTAGTTTTTGTTATACAATTTTGTAAATAAGTGATTTTTCTCCTTCACTGATGTGCGCTAATGAGGCTGCAGTGATGGGCACTGATAGGCTGCACTGATGGGCACTGATAGGTGGCACTGATGGGCACTGATGAGGAGGCACTTGTAGGTTGTACTGATGGGCATTGACAGGCATCACTGATGGGCACTGAAAGGCAGCACTGATACATGAGACTGATATATGGCACTGATAGGCAGCACTGACTGGCACTGATAGGCAGCACTGACTGGCACTGTTAGGCAGCACTGACTGGCACTGTTAGGCAGCACTGACTGGCACTGATAGGCGGCACTGACTGGCACTGATAGGTGGCACTAACTGGCACTGATAGGCGGCACTGATGTGCACTGATAGGCAACACTAACTGGCACTGATAGGTTGCACTGATTGGCAGCACTGATAGGTGGCACTGATTGGCAGCACTGATAGGTGGCACTGATTGACATTGAAAGGTGGCACTGACTGGCACTGATGGGTGACATTGAAAGGCAGCTTACATGGGCACTGATATGTGGCATTGATGTGCACTGGTATGCACTGATATGTGGCATTGATGTGGCACTGATGGGCATTGGCATGTGGCACTAGTGAGCACTGACTGCTGGCACTGATGAACACTGACAGGTGGCACTTCTGGGGCCACACTGATCAACAGGGCACACTGATCATCAGTGCCCTGATGATCAGTGCACATGTCCCCTCCGCAGAAAGCCCATTACCAGCTCTCCTCTCCTCTGTCAGCGTGACGGCTCGAGAGGAGAGAAATGCCGATAACCGGCATTTCCGTGTTTACATGTGATCAGATTGGACACAGCTGATCACTTGACCGAGCCAACATCTTCGGCTCTTTCCATGATCCGCTGTGTCCGAGGGACACAGCGCACCGGCAATTGCCGCGCTGCGCGCTCCCTGAGCCGCGCATGCGTGGTGAGAATGGAAGGACGTCATATGACGTCCTATCAGAACGAGAGAACCACCTTGCGCCCGTCATTGTACTATAGGGCAGGCGGAAGGTGGTTAAAGAAGAAATCCTGGCATTTTTTTATTGTCCCATGTAGTGGGGCTGTGCCCGCACTGCATGGGTTAAATGCTCGTTTCTGTCTAGGGGCTCAGAAAGTAAAAATACACTTACCTAATCCACCGATTCACCAAGTGCAAGACTGGTCCCCACTGCTCCTGCCCCCCCCCCCCTCCACACACACACACACACACACACACACACACACACGTTAGCAGTCTTGTGAATGGGCTGTTCCTAGTGTCATCACGCCCATAGACCAGCTTAAGACGTGAGGACAGCAGGAACAGTCCACCGCTGGACATGGGGGAGCGCAGTTTTCCAGAGGATCAGGGGAAAGGATAAGTATAGCTTTAGCCTGAGCCCGTAGACAAAATGAGAACTTAACCCACATAGTGCGGTCACAGCCCCACTGCATGGGAAAATAGCATTTTTAACCAGAGTTCTGCTTTAAGCATATAAGCAAAGATGTCCTTTGTCATCCTTATACAATGACAAAGAGGGATTAAGTTTACCATTAAATCATCAAAGATATTTGCACATTTTATTTAGACTATACATTTCCCTTAGGCTGCACAGTTAATAATAGATTGTAGCAGAGTTGTCAGATAGGATCACCTAGGTTTAATTTTAGGTTTTCATGTCTGTATTTGATAGTTGTATTTCAATAAACACTTGCCATTTGAATCCACAGAAATCATCTAGTTTCACACAGTACTACTTGAGTGACTGCTAATTTACAATGTTTAGACCGAAACTAAAGCATGTTCCAGTCACACTGAAAATTGAATAAAACAAATCGTAAAGCAAATATAAACCTAAACAAACATTGACTTGCTGATCTTGCATCAACATTTGCCACTTTCTCTTGGCATTACATCAAATTGAATAATTTTGTCAATATGTACGTTGACTAAGGCATGTAAGGACAGTCTGATAAAAGGTATTAAGAAAAAAGATTTTAATTTCACTGACATTTGGATAACAGATATCTTTAGAGCAGATACAATATTTAACTTCAGCAATGAGCAAGTATAGCATTATATTACTCAAATACTTACAGTATTATGCAGATAGCTAAAACTTGATGTTGTCATGCTGGCATTTCCACATTGTTTTTCAGAAAGAAGACTACGGCTGCAGTAAAATTATACATTTTTATGCCTCCATTACAAATATTTTAGCAATTTTATTTGGCAAAGACTTTTGGTGATTTCAGCCTGCAGATGAAGCTCTTGCACTATATGCCTCCCTGCATATATTTAGCATAGAGAATAGAGACAGATCTATCTAACACTAGGCTAACTGTTATGATTTGGCACCATTAAGATCATACTTTGTGTATATAAATACAGTACAATATAAGTTTCACAAATTATTTCCTGTTTTTCTATTTTTTTACTACTATATACGTGATATATAAGTCAATTACATATTCTACAATCCAGTTAAAGTAGAAGGAAAGGCTGCCCTTCAATTCTCCACTAAACACTGACTAGTAGAAATTCTGCATAGTTCAAATATTTTAAATATGCTTCTTTCTACCTCATTTTCTTTTAAAAGTCCCTCTGTCATGTGACTGCACAGCTCTCAGCTTCAGTAGATCACTGTGGCTATTAAGAGTCTCCTCCCTATCCCTAGGTTTCTCACTACTAGAAGTTATGTACCTAGTTCATGGTGCCAATAGCCGGGCGGGATGGGGTGGGGCCAGCTGGATGGAGCGGGGTGGGGCCAGGCGGATGGAGCCAGGTAGGGCTGGACCAGGTGAGACAGGGGCGGGGCTACTCAAAGCTCTGTTGATTTTATTACACAGAGTCCGACAAGGATTTATGGAAGTGCCTGTGAGCTGTCACATTCAGCAACAGGCAGACCGTTGTCGGGACAGAACTGGATATTGCTGATTGTCTAGCTTAGACCACTGTTTCTAATCTAAACAATCAGAAATTCATAAAATGCACAATATAAAAGTTTTAGGTATTTGACATACTAATCATTGGTAAGTTTTGTTTTTTGGGATAGAATTCTGCTTTAATAACAGTAAACATCATAGAAACTGGGTCAAGGTCACTGACCACACAGAAAATTCTTTGACAATTATTCAAAAGCTATTTTGGACAGGCACCTCTGTTTTATGATGTGTGTATATTTGTGTTGTGATATGAGGTAGCCCAGGATCATCAGCCAGCTATGTTGATAAAAGCAATCAGCTCCTTTATTTTTAAAAACAGGCACAAAAAAAAAACAAAACACAGCTTATCTTTAGCAAACAAAGAACATGAAATATTTCTGTGATGGAATGCCTGTCACCCTGGTTGGGTGACTCCATCAGAGAACCATGTCCTCACCACTGGGACACAGGACCAAAGTATTATAGCTGGGCATTGCACCCAAGAACTAGACGACACTAGCTTGATGCAAAACGGAACACATTGGCATAAAACATCCCACACTGATTAGGTAAGAGCTTGATCACATTATCCTAAACAATGCAAATGGCAGTACAGCTACCAGTGATCTAATTAACAGTAAGATAATCAACAGCCAGGCACGCAGACATTGCTTTGATTAATCAGGAAGCCCATCCCAGATGGATCGGCAATAAGCCTAACCCTAAATACACATGCAATCTATCAGGTATTTGCTTTCACTTGTATAATCTGTCCATCATAAAACAAAACTCATACAATATGCCAACAGTTTGAAAAAGTGGAAATAATTTATCTACATATATTAGTTGAGGGAGATTGTTGATACAGTAAATATTTCTTTCCAAAATGGAGGAGTTTCTCCAACCCAATCCACATGAGGATCACCATATTTCCTTTGACCATTAACCTGTATTATTAATATTATACCTTTCCATCCACTCCAGAAGGGAAGAGTTATTGTCTTTATGTAGATAGTTAATCCAAGCCTCACTTTCAGTGTTCATCATGTTGTCCATCATTAGAGAATGATCTGCTCTCTCCATGGGCCTTAAACAGTGGGCAAAAGGCTAGCCCCTAGTCCCCTCCAAAAGCCCCTGTCCTGCTTGGGTCTGTCACAATTCCATACTCTGGTTCAGAATTGCCAAACTAGTTAAAGGTGTGCCGTCACCATAACAGGTCTCATTCCATGGTTTGGGGGTTTCACGTTGGCTTCAGGAGTACCATTGAGGAGGTTTTTCACAACTCAGCTACTGTTGGTCAGTCCTAGGCTCAGTCCACCCTGTTCACACAGGTTCCCAGCTCACTCTTTCACTGCCAGCAGCTGACTGTTTCCTCTTCCTTTTCTGGACTCAGGCACTTGGGTTAAACCCTACAGGACCAAAATCCTGATAATCAGGGTATGAAGGTTCTTCCCATCAAAAACTCTTTCAGCCTCCATAATTCCAGGTCCCTAATGAGGAATTAGCAGTTCAGAGAATACTAAAACCTGGTCCTCTCCTCTCCAACCAGACTACCCCAGAACTCCTCGCCTTGCATGGGTGAGAACCCCTGAGTGCTCAACAATGTTTTCAAATTGTCCTCCTTAAAGAGTCCACAACTCAAATACTGCGGGAGATAGAGCAATATTTTATACTCAATGAGACTGAAGAGGTATCTGTTGCTACAGTCTGGGAAGCACATAAGGCATATATTAGGGGGATTTTAACCTCGATAGGGGACAAAAAAAAAGAAAGAACGGGGGAAAGAAAATAAAACTACTAACTCAGGATATATGACCTAGAACAATTACATAAAAAGAAAATAGATGTAGCGATACAACAAAAGATAACTTTGAAAAGAGAGGAATTGAAGGATATAATGGAACAGGAAATGAGAAGAGTCTTTAATATGGTGGCTAAAGAAAGATATCAGTAGGGGAATAGACCAGGAAAATACTTAATGAGAAGATTAAGGGAAAGGAAATCAAGGAATTATATAGAGAACAGTAAAGATGAGAATGGAGAAATGGCTTTTCAACCGTTGATATCGCTAAAACGTTTCAAAAATATTATAGCAAATTATATATAAATTCTAAAAACCCGAAAGAATCAGAGGGAGAAAGAAAGAAAAAAAGGCAGTTATATGTAAAAGGGGCAGGATTACCCAGGCTAGTGGAAGAGAGGTTGGTAGCCTTGGAAAAAACAATATTGCAGGAGAAAATCTTGGCAGCATTGAAGAGCACAGCCGCAGGAAAGAGCCCTGGACCAGATGATTATACGTTGAGATATTATAGGAAATTTAAAGAACAACTTGTGGCTAAAATGTGCCTGTACATGAATGCACTAGGAGAGGGGATGGAAATAAGGGAAGAGTAGCTGCAGGCATATATTACAATTATACTTAAAGAGGGGAAAGATCTATCCCAATGCGCCAGTTATAGACCTATATCATTACTAAATAGAGACACAAAATGATATGCAAAGGTTTTAGCAAACAGGATGAAGGAGTTGATGTTTGATTGGATACATATAGACCAGGTGGGATTTGTACCAGGGAGAGAGGGAGGGAAGGTATAATGGACTGAAATCACTGCTTCTTTTGCAAAAGAGCAAGAGAGAGACTGGTTTGGAGTTGGTTTTGTCGATTGATGCCAAAAAAGCCTTCAATAGGGTGTATTGGGGATTCATGATTGATACATTGGAGGTATTAGGAGTTTGACCCAAGATGGTACAATGGATAGAAAGCTATATAGTTTTACATCAGCAGCGGTGAAGGTCAATGGTTCATTGTCACAATTTTTTAAAATGTACAATGGAACAAGGCAAGGATGTTCACTCTCTCCTTTGCTTTTTGTTATATCTTTAGAACCGCTATGAGCGACTGTCCGAAAGAGTATAGATGTAAAGGGAATTTTGATAGGAGATGAAGAACATAAACTTACAGCTTACACA